GGAACAATGGGGTCTTTGACGACAACTTGAATATTGATATTGCTATTCAGTATTTTACAAATTATTCACAAAAGTAAATTCATATTTACACAGCTAAGCAACAACAGGTGAACGAAATTACACACCAATGGTTGGTTCAACAAACAAGCTTATAAAAATTACAATAATAAAACCTTTTGGGGTTCTTTTAATTATTATTATCTTATTATCATTATTTAATCCAAATGTAGATATGTTACTATACACATAAATGTAATGATATGCAGTCATAATTTCAAGATTTCTTCACCAAATTTTGATTGTACCGTTGTCCGATTTTCATTGAAATTAATAAATACTATTTTGAAATCCTACTTTAGCCGTATTTAAGAATAACGGTAAACATACTCCTTCTCTTATTAGGGTCGGTGAATGTAGTCTCGCCGGGATTGAACTACGAAGAGCAAAACTCTTATGATGTAACAATATTTCTTGGCGATGAAGAAGGTTTTACAGACAATAAGGTGTTACACGTCACGTTGTTGCCTAACCTAGGACCTGAAATCACCAATCTCAACGATACTATACAGATTAGTGAAATGAGTGCAGGAGGAACAGATATTTTTGTTGTACAAGCTGTGGATAATGAAGGAGATGACTTTTACTGCGTCATGTTTGCCAATCCAAATGATGGTAATTTTGGGTTTACCTCGTCCAGTAAGTATATAATTTGATCTTTTAATCTATTCGGGTGATTTTATCATTACTAACTCGCTTCATTTGTTCTTTTTCGACATATACCATTTTGTGACATGGACGCGTTTAACCAACCAGTATACGTGACGAATAACGACCACCAAATATGAACAGTTCATTGCGTATCACGTGACATACTATAATTTTGATGTTCAACAATCACATATGATAAATAAATAAATAAATAAATAAATAAATAAATAAATAAATAAATAAATAAATAAATAAATAAATAAATAAGGTTCTAGTTATTCTATAGGGAATTAACCGTTAGAAACTTGGGGAAATTTGAGGAAGGGATACAAACTAAATTCACCAACAAAATCGAAACTGAAGAAAAAAATATTCTGCACAGTTTTTTTACCATTTTTTCCTTTCTCATAGTCGCCTCCATTGATTGGCTTTTATCCTATTTATCCGTCACGTTATATCAACCATTCGTTCCACTACCCGATAAGTTGTTATTGTTATGTTAACATAAATCGCGTTGTCCGAAAGTCCAGGAATATTTAATCCTTGTCGGAGTTATAAATGGCACTTCTCAGAGCCAATCAGCGAGCAGTCATCGATGGTTTCCAGAGTACCCTTTCTTTACTAGTATCATATCACTATCATTTTCTAGTATCATATCACTATCATATCTTTATTTATAAACACAATTTGGTCCAATTCGTCCTATACAGCTGGTGTAAAATATATTGATTGTTCACTTTGTTTATTGGGGTTTAAATATGTGCTGCCTTGCTACCGTAGTTTATCTGCCCTTGCAGTTCAATTTTACTTGGACTAGTTCTGTTTTGATGTTTCAATATGTGCTCGTTTCAAGCTGACTTCTCGATCGCCACGCTAAAAAATATAAATATAAACATACGAAAGCACTTCATTGTATTGACAGCTAACGTCCTACCGCCACTCCGTTTGTGCAAGAGAAAGTAAAAAAATGAGCTTCTCACTTTAAAAACAACCATAATCTACAAACAGTGCGTACGCTTTTTCGGGTTCGAAAACACCTGCATGACAATGTTTCGGTGGGCGTCTTTGAAAGAAGTACCACTGTCACGGTGACGCATCGACCAATCAACTTGAACGACAAACAAAAGATCGCGTGGTGGAAGAAATATATTCGTAGAACTCTGCATGGGAGATTGATTTTAGAACTAAAGCCATGCTAACTGATTCGTGGCTTTGCTAATTGAAATGGAGATTGAAAAAATGTCGACGCTGATGATATCAGCGCTCTTGTCAAACAGCAATTTTTACGACGAGATCAACAGTCGATTGACCGCTGAATATCCGAAATTTCTGAAGGAGAGGGCGACGATTCTGTAATGACCGTGGTATACACCCTCTAATAACTGTGCATCGAATTGTAATTACTGGAATTACAAAATTACGGGACTAAAACATTTCTCCAGACTCCATTAACACTGCGATAACGACTTTCTTTCGTTTTTATGGGGGAAATATAATCGTATTTATTATTCATACACGATTTGTTGAACACACTACATAGTTTGAAAATTAATTCAGCTTTTTCAGTCACAATTTAAGGCAAAAATATAGAAAATAGCAAATTATCTTTTTTTTTCTGCAATGTTCTTGTGTACTAGTATCAGTGATTATGAAAAATACATTTCGTTATGAAATATTTTTAATGTTCTGAATTATCTTGTAAAAATCAGTTTTTCAGGTTTTTTTCTCGCAGAAAACAAAAGAATTTCACATTGTCGGAAACTCCATCGCAGTCTTCATTACAACCCAAAATATATCACTCAACCCTTTCAAGCCCTTAAGTGCGATTTCGAAAAGGGGCATAACACTTTTGAATAATAATGACAGTGTTCAAAGTTTCAACAAATGGTGTGGCTGGAATATTACCACGTGACAACCAAATGACCGGTTGATTAATGAGCGATTGACACCCCGCGCGGTTACGGCGACATTGTTTTGTCGCTTGATGTACAATTATGCAAAAATCTCACGCGTTGCCCCCAAATATATAAACGTAGCTGGAAATAATTTCATAAGTCTCTAAAGGGCGGCAGTCGTCGTGCCGCGTCCTGTTCGATATAGGACTCATAGCGACGTATACAACGCGTGTAAAATACATTGTTTATTTACATGAAATTCGAACACGCGCTGCGCGACGACCACCGCGCTTTAATTAACAATGAAAAATGTTACTGTGCTATAGTTCACGTAACTGACAGTATCCCCTAGCGCAGTCTCAAATTCAAATTAGGATTTTGATTTTCGTTGTTCATTTCAAAATCCTATTTTTGAAAAGGCGATGTTGCCACCACAGGCATAACTTTGGTAACTACAGCTACACTTTAAATTGTGATTACTTACCGCCAATTCATCATTTGAAATTACCCCAAAACCATAATGTTAAATCTCAGAGAATGTGAGAATTCACCTGGCCGTCATTAGCCATTGACCGTTATAGCATTAGTTAATATGTTTTAACAATTTCTAACAAATATGCTCTCTTTAAACACAGCTAATTCTATCTACGTCATCAACTCGCCTATTCTGGATTTTGAAACTGTGGATGAATACACCTTGAGTGTAACGTGTCATGATTTAGGCGTCACTAACACTAAGCCTGGCACACCTAAAGTACTGACTGTTCAGGTCACTGACGAGAATGAAGCACCGATAATTACTAACCTACCAGCAACAGTCAAAGTACCTGAAGACGCACTCAATTCTGTATCGATATTCCAAGCTGACGGTTATGATGTGGACGGCAATTCTCTCAGTTTTTCTCTCACAATAGTCTTACCTGTCTCCGGGCAAGGGAAGTTCGCTGTAGCCGACTCAAGTAAGCGATAGTTATTTGTGTCATTTTTTTAAACCAAATACAGGGATTCATATCAAGTAAATCAATGATGTAACGTTTAAATTATCGGATCAATGCAACAATGCATATAAGTTGTCTAAAGGTGAAGATACCTGCAAATAGCTGCAAGCACCGATAGTGGAAGTACTTGAGGTTAAGTATTTGATTTAAAGTGTTGAAGAAAGTAAATTTCTAGCACCAGCATGTATCATTCATGGTTAATACGTTTGGAGACGACTGTCCATGACGCCACGAGTGAAAGTTGTACCTTTTTTTCTAAACACGAAAACGTAAATATCGTACAGACGTTCAAACTATTCAGTCAGCTAATCATTCTAATGGAAGGTGATCATTAGCGCATGTAATGTCACCCAGGAATATATTACGGTCCGCGTTGAACATTGTGACCATGGAGATCAAGTGTATACCGTGAATGTACGGAAAACTATATTGTTAAGGGAGTTTTTATTAATTTCGATGAGTAAATCACCAGTGGATTGTTCCTCATAAACAGCTTGTGATTAGTTTCTCCTTCACAATACTATGCATAGAGTGTTACCTTTTTTTTTTTTTTTTTACAAACAGATGGGAACGATGGTACTGTTTCTATATCTAACAATCCTGGTTTCGACTTTGAGGATGTGCAGCAATATTCATTGGTGTTGGAAGCAACTGACGGAGAATTCACTGCAACTGGTACTCTGACTGTTGATATTATGGATGTAGCAGAACCACCAGTTTTTGCGAATGATAATCAAGATGTATATATCGATGAAGAACAGGTGAGAAATATGTACTCCTTTTTCATGCTTGTTTTGTAATTTATATTCGCCATTGATCAATTTAAAATAGGCATGGCTAATTTATAAAACATATCTTTACAGATTGTTGGGACATTAATATCTCTTGACTGGGCCGTTACTGACGTGGATGATGTATTAACTGATTTAACATATAATATAATTGCTGGAACTTATTCTCCATACTTCAGCTTAACTGATGGAACCAATCCAGAATTACGTATTGCACAAGTCATGGATTATGAAGCATCCTTCCCAGTCCCATTTCCCATAATGTTTACTGTCACAGACCCAGCTGGAAAGAAAGATTATCTAACAGTTAATGTATACCTTCAGAATATTTATGACAATGCACCAATTTTCACCCAGGCAGTATATTCCGCAGATTTGTTTGATGGAGAATCGCAAGGTAGTCCTGTACTGCAGGCTCTAGCAACAGATGTTGATCTTTTTGACATCATTACGTACTCCATAGAGCCAGATAATACATATTTTGTTATTGACTCACAATTAGGAGAAGTAACTGTAAACGAACACATTAACTCTTCAATCAGTGGGAATATCATCAACTTTACACTGGTTGCCACTGATCTGGGATCGAATCGAGACACAGCTTTTGTTCAGGTTACCGTTGCAAGTGTCGACAAAATTCATGTGATTATTGATAGCAACGAACGTCCATATTGGAATTGGGAGGTGCCTTATGATTTGACCAACGATACCTATGTTAACAACGTCGTCACAAATAACCAGATCTTCGGTAGGATGGTATTCTTATGAATAAATATAAAATTCCATATACCAACTCACGCATGAACGAACACACATAGATATTGAGTTATTTTTAGTTTATATATGTTGCTTTATTGTCTATTTTGATAGTCACGTAATTATGTCACTCTCACACTGATCTTGTTTTGTATGTATTACGTCGTTTTCACAAATTCGATCACATTTGTAAATCATATTTCAGAAAAAAGTGGTTCGATCATCTATAAGTTATATATGCCAAACACACGATTTAGAATGACAACAGATGGTCAAGTTTTCGTAGCAGGTAAACTTATGGCAGAAGAAGAATACATATTAATGTACTATGTAGAAGACGATAGCGTACCTCCGATCAAGGCAGGGTGAGTGTACTCTATTCATATATATCCACAAACAAATCATATTAGTAACGAAGTAGTTGTTAAATCATACTCAAGTGATATTGAAATTATAACACAAAAGAAATAAACAAAATATATTTTGTATGTATGTTTTTATGTTTTTATGTTTTCAATGTTATTCTAAAATAATTTATGAGGTAATGGACCACTGTAAATCCACGTGGCTGATAACGTTTCTTAGGAATATCTTAACGTTGTAGATCGTACTACGACCAACTGAAGTGTGCTGAATCGTGACGCACAGTCAACTGGCTTGTTGATCGTTTTTATCATTTGAGCTGATTGTCGTTATATTCATTAATGTGTATATTAAATAAATCAAATCAAAATATTGGCACCTAAATCTTATTACATGATTCCATGTCAAATTACATAACTATTAAGTCGTAACATTTCCCTTGATCACGATGAAGAATAACCTGTAGTATTAATACCTAAGAGATGTTTATTGGAAAATGTGTGTGTCCTTGTATGTATATTTGGAGAAGCAATATAAATAACTATTAGTCTCAGAGAAACAAATATACCAATTTGCATGTTAGTATTTCCAATAGAGATTTGAACATACCATAATACCATTCATATAAGTTACCATTCATATAAGAGGGGACCATATCGATCTTCTTGGGTTTGACTACTGGTGGTCCCACACAACGCTTTACATTAATTTGGCTTTAGACCAAGTTAATAAATGTCATTTATAATTTTTGTAAATCAACTCACTTTATATGTAATTCAAGACAGTTAACAAAAGTGTATGTAGCTTAGATTTAGGAGTTTATAAACTTATTACTGTATAAATCAGCGTACATCACAATGACCTGGTCACCCGAGTCACATATAGTCTGTATTCTGTTTTGGATTTTTACTTCCCACTTCAGCAAACTCCGAATTGAGTGTTTTATTACATGACAATCACAAATGTTATTTCAATGTACCGGTGTCTGATAGATGGCGACGTGTCAGTTTTTTTCTGTTCATCGGCTGTTCAAGATGTACATGTGTCATAATGTTTATCGGAATAATGTGCAGATCCCAGATACAAACAAGTACATCCAAGTTCGGTAATTGTAAACGACGTAATATGTAAGGAGTGCTAATGTTCTCGCATTCAGTATGACTCTCGTTGCTTAAAATTAGATTGTCAATTAATTCATACATTGATCTTCTATATATCATCTACAGTGTTTCAATGATTCGTATTGACACCTACATACCACAGATGGTTCTTGTGGACATACATCTGGGCATTTCAGTTGCTGATTTCACGTCCTCCAGACAGACTGCTTTTATTTCAGCTTTGAATAAACGTTATAAACCATGGAAATACAGAATATCCTCCATTCGCAGTGATACGGCGGTGGCTACAAGAAAACTTCTTCAAAAGTGAGTAGTATAGCAGTATCCACTACAAATACAAGTGTTTTTAGGTTTATAGTTATCACTTAATTTCGTATATGACGCGCGAACACTAAATGTAGAACGTAAGTCAAATATCTCGACAATGTGAATAATGAATCCAATATTTTCTATTCATTTAATAACTGCATAAAGGGTCAATGTTGTCACAATCCATTCTAAAGTGTCATTCATCACTGTTTTTTTCAGCACGGCAATTGTAGAAGTCTATGCGTTAAAAAATGATTTTACCAATTCTCAGGACAATGTTGACAAGACTAAGGAGTTTGTATACTTTGTGGATCTTGCAGAGGCAATGCAAATTGATTCAGATGGCACACCAGGGGTTCTTTTAACTGGAACAGATTTTGACGACTTCCCTGTAGAAAGTGTGCAACCAACATATGAACTCATTAATACGCATAATAGCTATAGCTGGTGGCTTAACACAGCTGAAGGAAATGCTACAATTGCCATCTTGATATTATTGGTGATAATTGTCATTGTCTCCATATGCTGTTGCTGCTGGTTCGTCATCCGCAAACAAGCCCGAAGTGATAAACAAGAAATCACTTCAAGAGCCGATGTTAACAAGAGTGGTGAGAATAATCTAAATAAGTAAGTTCACGTGATTTTATCGTCACATATATTTAGAGGTTATGGACAGCAAACGAGGGTTACGCTCGGTTATTAGCGCCCGCTAAATATGCTAATTTTTCCCAGCAAGGTCTTTATCTGCTAACATAACATACTCGCACAAGAAATACACAACTGCATATTAGCTGCCCATTGCTTTGTGCAGATTTTCATTACTCCCAACGTCTTTTTCGGATATACAACTGTTGTAAAGGATGACGAAAAGCCATGTCTTTATAAACACCTAATCGTGTGAAAACATCATACCCCGATTTTCACTATATTGCGTATATAATGATTTCCACTGGGATTTGGGGTTCTATTTGCGTGAACTTACACTCATTTTGAGCAATCTGAAATTTATTGGCAGTTTATTCAAATTTTGTTTCGGTAATCGCGAAAGCTGACATGTGGCGATATATAAAGTGATACCAAATATGATGTAATAAAAATAATAGTAAATAGTAAAAATAAAATGAAATATAATAACATTAAGTTAAATTCACGCCGCACATTACATCAGATTTTAAAATCAGATTGATACTAATTAAGATTTTACATTTGAACATTATCAAATATATTGTTAACGAACTATAGAAACAATTTTAAATAGTACATCAGCAAAAATCCATCAGAAAATATACACCATGTATATAATCTCAAAGGTGACTGCAGGCTCAGCCGAAAAATCAAAACCATGACCTTTGGGTTTTTACTGGCCCTAAACACACTTATAAATATCAGATCAATTTAATCTAACTGAATTCAACTCAATAAAACCCCTGTGCGATTGTCCAGTATTTTGTTCCGAAGTCTCGGTGATACAACTGAGCTGTCACTCTAGTAATTTGTGTGTCCACCATTTAGAATCAGGTGATTTCAGATAAACATTCAAATAAATATCAGATCAATTTAATCTAACCTGAATTCAACTCAGTAAAACCCCTGTCTCGGTGATACAACTGATCTGTCACTCTAGTAATTTGTGTGTCCACCATTTAGAATCAGGTGATTTCAGATAAACATTCAAATAAATATCAGATCAATTTAATCTAACCTGAATTCAACTCAGTAAAACCCCTGTCTCGGTGATACAACTGATCTGTCACTCTAGTAAGTTGTGTGTCCACCATTTAGAATCAGATAAACATTCAAATACGATTCTAAGGATTGGTTATTCTGCTGGCATTTTTAGTGAAACAGTGACATAGAAGCATGCAATTTTTGCAAAACCTTTATTTGGAAAATTCCTGAAACATTCCTTAAACATAATTACAATGTTACATAATAGTTTAATTTGTGAGTTATTTAAAAATTCGTATGTCTATTGAATTCTAGCTCATCCATTGTACATATGTTAGAAGATAAGAAACTCATTGAAAAAGATGGGATCATTACTGATCAGTCAGAATTACAGAAAAACGTGGGTGACAGTATAGATGAAAAAGATGCTGACAGTAATGGTATTAGGAAAGACCTAGTGGAGTGAGTTTATGTGATTGTACAAGCACGCGTAATATAAATAATTTCTACAACATTCGAGGTTGTCACTTTTTGCAATGTTAATGTGTATAACATATGTATATTCTTTTCCATCAAGCGTGCCAGCCGTTGAGAAGGCAGGTGATACGAAACTCATTGAAAAGGATAAGCTGTCGAGTGATCAGTCAAAACTAAAAAACGGCGTTGGGGACAATTTAGATGAGAAGAATGTCGACAAGAATGGTATTAAGAAGGACTCGAACGAGTGAGTTTAATTATATCAAAACACATAATACAAATAATTTCTAGAAAACTCGAATATGTTGTTTCTATTTGTAATGTGAACTTTCAATGCATATGGTCCATTTCCTTCAAGCGCGTCCGTTGCCAAGAAAGCAGGTGTTACAAAGCAAACTAAGAAGCTAAAGGACAAAGATAATCTATCTAGCGATCAGTCAAAATTAAAAAACGGCGTTGGGGACAATTTAGATGTCAAGAATGTCGACAAGAATGGTATTAAGAAGGACTCGAACGAGTAAGTTTATATAATTGTATCAGGAAACATAATACACACCATTTCTAGAAAACTAATATGTTGTTTTGTAATGTGAACTTGCAATGCATATGACCTTTTCTCTTCAAGCGCGTCCGTTACCAATAAAGCAGGTGATACGAAGCAAAATAAGAAGCTAATAGACAAAAATAATGTATCTAGTGATCAGCCAAAATTAAAGAGCGTCACAGGGGACAATTTAGATGGCAAGGATACCGATAAGAATACCACTAGGAAGGACCCGAACAAGTGAGTTTATGTAAAGTTAAAAGCTCATATAAAATGTTTTCCAAGAAATTCAATATTATTTTCACTATTTGTAATGCACAAAACTGATCTGACTCTAAATAAGAAAAAGGAAGCCACCTAGAGATCCGTCAAAATTATAGAGAGACTTTGTAGACAATTTAAATGACAAGCAGTAAAAGGGATCTGAACGAGTGAGATAAGTCTTTTAAATTGAATGAGCTCAATTTAGAATGTAAGTCGTTTCTCGTGTTCAAGATTAGTTTGTAATACATATGTCTTTTCTCATACATATTCTCTCAAGGTCATCCGTCGTTCATAAAGCAGGGGATACGAATCTGAATGAAAAGAAGAAGCTGTCTAGTGATCAGTCTAAATTAAAGCAAAGTTCAGGCGTAAAAGATGACACTCGGGCGTCAGAAAGCACGTCGAAGAAAGATTCCACTTCCCTGTCACAGATGAAAAATACCAATCAGAAAACTGGGAAGGATGTCACGGTAGAGCAAAACAAATCATTAGCGACGGAGAAGAACAACATACTAGTGAATACTCTATCTGCACCTGAAAGTAATGACAGGAAAGACAGTGTAATAGGTCCTCTTCCGGATATGTCCAAGAAGAATAAAACACAACCAAAGACATTAACGAAAGGTTGGTCAACGTCTTAATACATTTCCATAAAGTACTTTATAGACGTTCAGAAACTTTAACAAGCACTCAACCTATTGGTTGTAGGAAATTCATTATTAGGTCAATAAGCGAAGACACAAAAGAAAATGGTTCAAGCTCTTGACTGAAGGAAAATGGACAAAGTGAGGTTTTGATATTTTTTTATACTATCGAGGATTCGTACTAAGTCAGTTTCATTTGTTTCTCAATGCAGGATTGTCGACAAGAAGTCTTGTTTCAAACAAGAACTTGACTAGCAGAGGTGAGTACAGATTCAATAGAATAGAATAGAAGTCATTGTACAGTTCTCGGGCCCTATAAAGAGTCACTTATTTTCAAACGCCGTAGGCTGTCTGCCTGTCGACTGTGGACAGTCTACAATCAGAAATACATGAATACATCGACTTCATTCAATCCTAGCAAAAAAAAGTAGTTAGTATTGGTTTTCAAAATGTAATTAGGTATCTTACAAATATATATGTGAAAACAGTTAAATAAAGACATAAAAAATAGAACTATTAATCATGTAAGAACTATTATGTTCATCAACCTAGGCATTAAAGCTAGGCATTAATGTTGATACGACGATTTGGATGAAAGT